TTTCTTTTTTTTAATATATTATTATTTTTAAAATATAAACCTTATATTACTTATATATAAAAATTTATAAAATAAAAAGAAAATAATTTTATAAGGTAATTAATTAATAAATATAAGGCTTTATTAATATAAAATTATATTATAAAATTAAAAGCCTTTTATAATTAAATATAAGCATTTCTTTAAAAAAATAAAATATTATTATATATATTTATTTTTAATAATTAAATTTTATAAATATATTAATATATTTATAAATATAAACCTTATTATAATAATTCTTAAAATATTATTATTTATTATATTAATAATATTTATATTTTTATAATTTTAATAATATTATATTTAAAAATATATATAATAATATAAATCTTCTTTTAATATATATTATAAATAATTATTTTATTAAAAGCTTATAATATATAAATAAAAATAATATTTTAATATAATTATAATTAAATTACTTAATTAATATAACTTAATTAAAAATAAAAAATAATAACTTATTAATTATTATTAATTATTTATTAATATTTTATTAATTTAATTAAATATTATATTTTTAAATAATTTATATTTTTTATATTTAATTAATTAAAAGAAAATAAAAAGAAAATTAATTAAATTAAGAATTAAATTTAAAACTTTTTTATTTAAAGAATTATTTATTAAAAGCTATTATTTTTTTAATAAATTTTTATAAATAAAAACTTACTTTTCTTAATTATAAAAATATATAAAAGTATATTATTATTATATTATATTATTATTTATTATAATAATTAAAAAGATAATTATTTAATAAAAATATAAATTAAATATTTAATATATATTTTACTTTTCTTTATTAAAGAATATAATTTATATAATAAAATTAAAAATACTTTATTTAAAAAAAGAAATAATATAAATTTATAAATAATAAGTAAATATTATTTATATAAATAATATTATAACTTAAAATATTAAAAGCATTATTTTTTAAATATAATTAATAATTAAGCAACTTATATATTTATATTATATAATTTATAATATTCCTTATAATTATTATAATATTATTTAATAAGTTAAGTATATAAAAAGTATATATATAATAAAAATATTAATAATTATAAATATTTTAATATTATAAGTTTTTAATTTTAATATTTTAAAATATATAATAAAAATATTAAAAAGCTTTAATCTTTATAATTATATTTAAATATAATTATTATTATAAATAATAATTAACTTAATTTATTATAAATAATATTAATTTTATAAAAGATTTTTATAATTATTAAATAAATTAATTATTAAAAGTATTTTTATTAATATTTTATATAATTATATATTAAAAAATACTTATTTATTTAATTAAATATATAATAAAATAATATTTCTTTATTATTAAAAAATTATAAATTATATAAAATATTATAAGTAAATTTTTAATATAAAGAGTTTAAAATTTAAATAATAAAAAATAACTTTATAATATTTATAATATATAATAAATTTTATAAAGCTTTTAATTATAATAATTCCTTAAAATTAATTATTTAATGCTTATATAAAAATAAAAATATTATATTAAATAAATTAATAAATTTTTATTATAAATTATATTAATTTATAAAGTTTATTAAAAAATATTTATATTTATTATTAAAATAATAATTTATATATTTATTTAAATATATTTAATTTAATTTATTAAATAAGTTTTTAATAAAATTATTAAAAAGTTTTTAATATTTTATTTTATTTATTAATAATTATATTTAATTTTATTAAATTTATTTTATTATTTAAAAAAATAATATTTTAAATATTATTAAGAAATAATAAAATATAATTAAAATTTAATTTAATATAAAAATTAAAATATTTAATTTAAATAATAAAAGTAAATTTATAAATAAAATAATTATTATAATATTTTAAAAATATAAAATTATTTATAAAAAATTATTTTTTTATTATTATAAATTAAATAATATATTTATAAAATTAAAAATTATATTTAACTTTATTATATTAAATAATATTATTTAAAATACTTTTAATTATATTTTTATCTTATATATTTTTATATTTTTTATTAAAATTTATATATTAAAAATAAAATTATTAAATAAAGTTAAAAAAATATATTTTATAAAATTTAAAATTAAAAGTAAAATTATTTTTTTTTATTTATATATATTTTTAAAAAGTTATTATAATTATAATATTAAATTATATTATTTAATTTATTTTAATAATAAAAATTATATAAATAATTAATTAATTAAATAAAAATATATTACTTAAAATAAAAATATTATTAATATTTTAATTAATAAAACTTATAAATAAATTATTTAAATTAATAAAACTTATTAATAAATTACTTAAATTTATAAAATTTATATAATTATATAATTTTTAAAAATAATAAATTTAACTTTTATAAAAAGCAAGAAAAAATATAAATATTATTATAAATTATTTTAAAGATTTTAATAACTTAATATTAATTAATATAAACTTTATATTAAATTTTATATTAATTAATATTAATTATCTTAATTAAATCTTTATTTAAATATTATTTATTAATATAATAAATATTAATAATATTATTAATATATATATATAAAATATAAAGAATAATAAAAGAAATATTTAATAATAAGTTATTAAAAGAAAACTTAAATTTTTATTAAATATAAATATATAAATTAAAGTATTTATAATTATAAATTAATATATTATTAATCTTTATTAAATATATATAAAAAAGTTTAATATTTTTAATAAACTTATTTATTATAAAGCTTAATTTATTATTTATAAATATATATAAATTTATAATATAAATTATAATAATACTTATAACCTTATAATATATTATAATAATTTAAAATTAATTATTATTATTATTATAATAATAATAAATTAATAACTTTAATAATTTAATATTAAAATAATATATTTATATATTTATTTAAAATATAATATTTATATATAATTATTATAAAAATATTAAATATTATTTAAAAATTAAAAAGTTATTTTAAAACTTTTTAATATTTTATATAAACTTAAATATTTAATAAAAATAATATTTAACTTTTATATTTTTATTAAAAATTAAATTATTATTATTATTTATATTAATATTATTTTTATTATTAAAAGCTTTTTTTAAGTTAATAAATTTTATATTAAGCTTATATAATATTTTAAATATAAGGATTTTAATTTTTATAAATATTTATTTAAATTAAAAATTATATAAATTAATAATAATATTTATATTTCTTAAAAAAATATATTTAATAAATTTTAAAATGCTTTAATATAATTAATTATAATTAAAAATAAACTTTTATAAATTTAAATTTATTTTTATAATAAATAAACTTTAATAATATTATAATAAATATAATAATATATTAATTATTTATTAAATTTATTAATTTCTTTATTATTAAAATAAAATTTAACTTTATATTTTTATATATAATATTATTAATATTTAATATTAAGCTTATAATTTATTATTTAAATATTATAAAAAAATATTTTAATATATTTAATATATATTAAATTATATTTTAAAATATTTAAAATAAATATTATTATTTTAATTTATTATATTTAATATATATATTAATGCTTTTTATAAAATTAATTTAAATAATTTAAAAGCATTTAATAAATATATATATAACTTTTTAATAATAACTTAATTATTTAATTATTAAAGTATTAATTTATTATTATAAAATTTATTTATAAAGTAAAATATATAATATATTTCTTAGCATTATTATATTTTTATAAAATAATTTAAGCATTAAAAGATTTAAATATTAAATATATTAAATATTTATTTCTTTTATATATTAATAATTAATTAATATTAAACTTTATTTAAAATTATAAAATTAATATTTAATTAAAATATATTATTATTTATTATTACTTTATTTATAAAGAAATTAAAAAAATATATAATATTTATTATATTATATTTAAAGATAATTTCATTAATATTTATATAAAAGCATTACTTTATTTTATTTTTAAAAAAGCTTATATAAAATTAAAATTAAGATAAATATAAAATTTATATTATTAAATAAGCATTTAAATAATTAATTAAAAATAATATAAATAAAATATATAAATATTAAAATAATATTTATATAATAATTTTAATATAAATTATAGCGAAATATTTAAATTATATTTTTTAACTATTAAAACAAAACATTTCTTATTATTATTAAGATAGTAATACTTATAATAAGGGGTATATTAAAAGGTGCAAGAATTATATGCCTATACATTAACGCTAGCTTATAAATAAGCTCCTTTTAAGCATTTAATAACGGGGAAAATTCTCTCCTTAACAACACAACAATCAACTATCATTTGCTTAATTGCTTCATCAGAACGGAGAAAAGTTAATTGGAAAATCTGGCAGTGAGATTTTGGGTTTTGATCTTGGCCGTGAAAGAACTAGCCCCGTTAACGAGGAGACTTTCCGTCACAGCTTCAAGACGCTTACGAAAAGCTTTCAACCCACGAAGCGAGAAAAGAGCACGATGATGAGTTACGCGAGCGCGAGCGCGAAAGAGCTGCGCAGCGAGCAAGAGATGCAGCTGCGACACGACAAGCGGCTGCGTGGCAAGGGCTGCAATTGCCAGAATGGCCCGAACAACGAAGAAGAGGTTACCAGACGGGGGGAAGTGTTCTAGAAGATGAGTTTTCATTCTTCGAGAGACTATCTCAGTGGTTCATGTCCGGTATTTTGCTATCTCCTAGGCCTCATCCGCCGATTTTATCATCGAAGCTTCTACTCAAGACCCGGGAGAAACTGCCAGAAATCCACAGTCATCAGAATCATCCATCATTGCCCGAAATTCCAGACCGAGGAAACGCAGACTCGCAGCATTCAATAAAAGGACACGCAGGAGGTGCCAATTTTGTTAAATGCGTCGAAAAAGAAGGCAACCAAGTTACCAACCACCACCACCGGTGTTCCAGTCGGCACCAGCACCACCGGAGTTGGCGTTCCAGTCGCCACCGCCATCACCACCGTCAGCAGGGGCGTCAGCAGGGGCGTCGATAGAATCGAAGCCGCCGCCGTCGGCACCAGCTCCGCTGTCCTCGTCAACGTGAGGCTTGGTGCAGCGGACCTTGGTGTGGCCATACTCCTGACAGTTCTGGCACTGGACCCGGGAATCTGGGACATTGTTAGCATGTGAAATTTGAGGTCAGGAGAAACGAGACTTACAGTCACGAGGCTTCGGGCACTCGCGGCTGGTGTGTCCATAGTCGTCGCAGTTGCGGCACTGGACCTTGGACATGTCTCGAGGCTTGTCGCACTCCTTGGCCAAGTGACCCTCCTCACCACAGTTGCGGCAGCCACGAGAGCCACCACCGGTGGGGCAATCCTTGGAGAAGTGTCCGACTGGAAACTGTTAGCACGTAGCCTCTGGCAAAAAGCTGGCAAATGACTCACCCTCGTTGCACTTGCGGCACTCCACATTGGAAGCATCACGGGGCTCGGTGCCTGGTATGGGCGGTCAGTCAGTGAACAACAGCTGGCGGTTCACGAAGGACTCACAGTCAGCAGCCTTGTGGCCACCCTTTCCGCAGTTCTTACAGGCGAACTTGTCAACACGAGGAGTAGGACCTGGGTACGTCAGTCCAAAGCTTCGTAACCATGGTGCTGGAAACGAGACTTACAGTCGCGGACACGGTGACCCTCCTGGTCACAGTTGTAGCACTTGACGACGGTCTTGTCGGGTTCCAGCTGCTCCCCAGGGCAGTCCTTGCGGACGTGTCCAAGCTTCTCGCAGTTGCCACACTTGGGCTTGCCAACCCAAGGGACAACGTCGCCAGCCTCAGCCAGCCGCTGCATCACGACCTCGTGGTTCTCAGGCCAACCCTCTCGCTCAGACTGGCGAAGGGGCTTGTCGGAGAAGCGGTAGTTCACAGTGTACTTCTTGTTTAGGTTACCCTGGAGGTCCATGTTGGTCAAGGTGATGGACAGGTTCGCACGCTCCTTGGGGATGAGGTAAAGGCCATAGCCCTGAGAACGGAGGGCCTTCTCGATCTCGACAAAGGTGGTGGTTGGCTGAGCCTTGGCGTAGATCTGGATCTTCTCCTTGACCTCGTCCATGTCCCTGTCATTGATGGCCTGCTCCAGGAGCTTCCAGGCCTCCTCACCGGTCATGTCGGGAAGGTGGCTGCGGTCGACCTTGCGAGCGTTCTGGCACTCGGCAGCAGTGTGGCCTTCGGCTTGTGTCAGTTATCCAGGCAATGGGACGTTCGAAGGAGATTGGGTCTATCTTCGGACTCACCGGTCTCCTCGCAGTTCTTGCAGGTAGCGACATAGACGGGGCACTCCTTGGCCATGTGCTCACCCTCGCAGTGGTAGCACTTCATGGGCTCCGGACACTCCCTGAGCATGTGGGAACCCTTGCAGCGAGGGCAGACCAGAGGATCCGGACACTCAGCGATGAAGTGGCCCTCCTTCTTGCAGTTGCCGCAGCGGGCAGGACCCTTATCGGGGCAGTCTTTGGCGAAGTGGCCCTCCTTGTGACAGTAGCGACACTCGACCGGCGCAGGGGGCTTGGGGCACTCGGCCTTGTTGTGGCTGTGTCTGTATGTCAGCCGGTACCGTCACTTTCGTGAGTGCATGTGGATGATTGGAGTCAAACATACCCAGGCTCACCGCAGTTGAAGCAGGCACGGTCGCCGCCGCCTCCTCCAACACCCTCAGCGCCACCGAAGCTGTCACCGTAGCCACCGTCAAAGGCACCAGAAGCGCCGCCGCCACCAAAGCTGTTGCCGGCGCCGCCACCGCCGCCGTCGTTCCAAGACATCTTGCTGGTTCAGGCCTGGAGTGCTGTTGCAGTGTCTGCGGAGTGATACGTCAGGAACTAGAAGCGAGACCTCGACCACGAGATAAGAAATATTTTTGAAGCGTGTACTGAGAACATTTGGATGAGTGTGAGACAAATGGATAGGGTAGGTTTTGGAGCGGGGTGGGAGGGAAAGACTAGACTTGAAAGCGAAGTTGAGGCCACTTGCACCAAGGATGGGCGCCTCGCAGTGGTTTGTTTCGCCTCCAGCTCGAAGAGATCAAATCTTACTGAACGCAGGTTGCGACGTGATCACCGATCGCTGTAAGACTCGAGACTCGAGCACCGGTGGCGAAGGCAAATGACGATGAAGATTTGTGTACTTGGAAGAAGAGGGACTGGATGATTTTGAAGGGAATGAGGAAAACTGTGGTGCTTCTGTGTACAAGAGCGCCGACGTGCTTACCAGCCGTGACAGTTCCTGACGGTGCTGGATCAATGTTTAGGGAAAGAAGTCCGCGTAGACGAAGGGGTTCGACGCGTCGTCTTGTGATGTGTAGGATCGAGATGTGTTGTGAAACGAAGGGAACGGTGGAAGGAGGAAACAGAGGAACTGGGCGATGAAAGTCAAGAGGCCAGGCAGTGCTGCTGGCGAATGTGGGGCTTGCACCAGAACCTCGCTCAGAATCAGACTGGGGAGGCTGGTCTTGAGAACATCGAATGGTAAGACAGGCGAGCGGGTGAGGTGGGAAAGGTGAGGAAAGATGACAAGCCAGACACACAAAGGAGAGGAGGTTGCTTACCAAAATGAGAGGTCGTCTGCGTCAAATGCAGGATCAGCCTACAGTGTTTCGGATGCTGCTGAGACGACAAAGGTTAGGTACTTCAGGTATGGAGAAGGATCAGATGGGTGAAAGACAAGTAGTCGACCAATTTGATGGGGGGCGAGACGGTGGGAGGGAGGGATGGGCAAGCTGACAGGCGAAGAGGCTGTGAGAGTTGTGGAATGGAGCAGACGAGAAAAGGTCAACGTTGAGGACTTACTGGTCTCGACTCTTGGACACAATTGTGAACGGGAAAGAAGGCGCGCTTTCTGTTGACCTGGTCCACGCGGTTGGTGTGGTCGAGTTGGGAAGGGAGGTCGAGGGTGCAAGTGGAAGGTGCCTAGGTAGGCAGGCAGTAGGTTGGAGTGGGACGAACGAAGGAGCTCCAGCTACCCCGTCAGGTTCAGACGAAATGGAAAGACAAACTGATCAAGCAGGTCTCAGAAAAGCCCACCGCGACTTTGTGTGCCTAAACAAGCCCACGCCTTTTTCCTGGGCGACGCAAAGAAGGCACAACTAAGGCAACGGTGACGTGGTATAGAAGGGGGAACTGGGCACCAGATGGCCATGAAACGGAAGGCATGACACACACACACACACACACACACACACACACAACACAGGAGACGTCAGTGTACCGAGAGCATCAACCTCCGCAGAGGGGACTTCACGTGGATACGTTCGAAAGTCTAGAAGAAGGCTTCCTGTGCAGCTCGGCATGTCCTCTAACACAAGGACACTCATTCCATCCCTACCAGTGGCTGGTAAATGAGAAATCACGCGACAGTCAAGTGCCGTCTTCGTGGTTGCCACACTAGAGCGAGAAAGCATGCTTGAAAGATGAAGTCTCAAAGAATCGTTCTCTTGATTTACGTCCCGCTGTTGACAGCCCAAGGGTGAGCCAGTTGAATCAAAACAGCAGATGTGACAGCATCCATGCCGTCGACCTTTCGCGAACTTCATGGCCGCGATTTGACATTTCCCGACTGCTGGATATATTTTCCGGCTAAACGCTGCCAAACAGCCATGCCAATTTAGAAGCCAGCTGAGACCTTGATATCTCCAAGAACTATAGCCGTCCGAGAGCTGCTGGGTGTTGGCTGAGCGACAAGAGGATGACGGGGTGATGCGTGGTGGAGTTTGGGCATTCCAAACAGCCAATTCGACTTTGCAAAATCCTCGAAAGAATACATGAGAATAACTTAAAGCTTGCCACTCAAGAAAAATATGGCACCTCACCGGTCGCAAAGTCCAGTGGGCAGCGAGCAAAGGAGTGACGGGCCAGGCACAAGCTGCTGTTGGCCAACCAGTGTAATAACCACTTGTGCACCTACCTACGTGCATGATTCAACTCTTGAGTACATGCTATATCCAAAGCTAATCTATCTGTACCGAGGCCGGCTTGCCCAGAAGGCGAGGTCCTGCCTGCAAAGTGCTTCAAAACTCCCAGTTCATTGTATTTTCGAAAGCGAGGATGGGTCGCGGCAGAAACATTGCAGAATGGACCACACAGGCTTCATCTCTTGGATCCTTCACGATGAGACCCTCCAGGTTTTCCACGTTGATGCGAAATACTTGCGGTTCAGGTATTTGCCTCCTTCTCGAAGCACCAGCGTACGTAAAGAACCAGGCTTCGATATTCCATACGATCAAGACCTTATGCGCAGAGACACGACATGCAAGCTCGCCATCCCATGCCCGGTATTTGTTGCACGTCGCCAATGAAATACCAGGGTAGTCTCAAGATTTTGTGTAGAGCGAGATATTAAAGACTGAGACAACTGTAATGAGAGTCGGGCGTTGACGAACTTCTTCACAGTAGACAGATTGGAGCGATGTTGTCTGCATCAGGCTCGGTCTAATTCGCCACCCATGAGTTCGCATGCAGTGCAGCCCCCCTTTTCCACTGTGTCTGGAAAACGAAACGCTCCCCCCCTGTCAAATTAGTTAGCTGTCCCCCCCCCGCACCAAAATTTAGCTGTGAACGCGAAATATGCACTAATATTTTTAAGGACAACCTTATTAATATTAACTATATACTTAATTTAATAAAAGAAAGGTTTTAATAATATAATTAATTTAAGCATAGCTATAAATATTAAAGTTTTATTTATATTTAAACTTAATATTATTAAATAAATAATTATAAGTTAAATTTTATTATTATAAGATTATTATTAAGTAATATTAAAAAAAGGTTATAATTATAAATTTATAAATAATAAATAAATAGCTGCTTATATAAGCAGCATTACAGCTTAAAACATTAAAAGCATTACCCTTTAAGCATAATTAATAATTAAGCAACTTATATACTTATATTATATAATTTATAATATTCCTTATAATTATTATAATGCTATTTAATAAGTTAAGTATATAAAAAAATATAAAAATAATTATGTTTATTAAAAACGTTTTATTAAAGTATTTATTTAATAAAAATTATAATTATAAACTTTTATATTATTAATTAATAACTTTCTTTAAAAGTAATAATCTTTTAAATAATTAAAATTTATTAAATTATTATTATTAATCTTATTTCTTATTAATAATTTATTTTTAAAAAGTAACTTTATTAATTAATTTATATAATAATAATATTTATATTAAAGTTATTACTTATAAATAAATATTTATAAAGTTAATTAAAAATTATAATAATAAATATTATAATATTCTTTATTTATAATTAATAAGTAAGTTATAAAGTAAATAATTATTAAATAAATATTAATAATAAGAAATTTATTAATTTAATATTATTTTTATTAATTTTTTTCTTTTTAATTATTATTATTTTTACTTTATTTTAATATAACTTTTTTTTCTTTTTAATATTATAGCTATTTATATAAGTAATTATAATATTATAATTATTTTTATATATAATTATATTAATTAATTTATAAAAGAAATTATTATAAAATAAAATAATATATAAATTACTTTTATTATTTTTATAAATAACTTTAAAGTTATTAATAATAAATTTAATAAATAATTAAAAAATCTTTAAAAATAACTAAAGATTATTAATAATAAGGTAAATTAATATAATAATATTTTTTATATTTAACTTTAAAGCATTTTTATCTTTATTATTAAAAGTTAATTTTATTCTTAAAGGCAAAATATAAGCAATAAGCCCTTAAATTTATATTTTTATAGTAATAATATTACTTTTATTTTTAAATTTATAAATTATTATAATAATAATAAACTTAATTTTTACTTTATTAATAATATTTAAGCTAATTATTTTTATATTTTAATTAACTTTTAATTTAAAAAAGCTTTTTTAATAATTATTTTATTTAATAAATACTTTTATATAAAAGCTTTTATAAAGAAAAAAGTTTTTATTTTAAAAAAACTTTTTCTTAATATAATTATTATTATTATTTTTAATAAATTAAAAAAAATATAAATTTTATTTTAAATAATAATAATACCTTATAAAATGTAATTATTGAAAATAATTATAAAATTCTTTAATAATTTTTTTAATATTATTTAATAAGCTATTAATAATTAGCTAATTTAATTATTTTTTATTAAAGCTATTATTTAAATCCTTAATAAATATTACGCTCTTTATTTAATAATAATAATATTTTTTTATCTTACTTTTTTTAAAAAATAAATTATATATTAACTTTATTTAAAGAATTTATAATACTTATTATAAGTTATTAAAAATATAATAAAATATTTTTTTAATTTAATTAATATTATTAAATAAAACTTTTATTAATTAACTTAATATTTTTATTAAGCTTTTTAATAAAGTTTAAATAATAATTATCTTTATAATAATTAAGAAAGTTATTTAATAAATTAAAATATATATTAATAAGTTAATAAAGCAAAGCATTTATATTAATCCTTAAATAATTATTTAATTATATAATAACTTTACTTTTTTTATAATTTATAAATAAACTTAGCTATAATTAATAAGCTTAAAATAACTTAAATTAAGCTTATTAATATTATAATTATATAAATTAATATTTTTAACTTTTAAATTAATAAATATATAATTTATTTAATTAAATAATTTAAAGATAATCTTACTTATATAAATATAATTAATAAGAAAGATAATATATACTTTAATTATAATAAGTAAGGTTATTAAATAAAAAATTATTATTTTAAGTTTAATTAACTTAAAACCTTTTTAATATT